GAGCTCTCCTGGTGACATGTCCATCGTGTGTGAAACCAAGCAATTCTAGTGGGCGTACAGTCGTGTCTCGTGGTTTTGATGGACAGTTCCATGATGATGAATGGTGTTGACCATCTTGTCAGGTTTCTGTAGACAGAGTTGATTTGTGTGTGTTCTATGGAGAAATGTCTATTCATAGCTTTTTTTTTTAGTCTATTTCTTCGCATAGTCTATTTTTTTAACTGGGTTGCCCTTTTATTAAGGGCCCCTGGTGGTATAGCCATTAAGGACTTGTTTGCCAACTAAGAGGTTCAGGGTTCTTCAAACCCACCAGCTGTACTGCAGGAGAAAGATGCAGCAGTGTGGTTCTCTAAAGAATTATAGCCTTATCATCCCTGTGAAGCAGTTCTACTTGGCCCTGTAGGGTTGCTATGAGTTGAAATCAACTTGAGAGCAACGGGTTTGATCTTTTTATTATTGAGCTGTAAGAATTCTTTATGTATTCTAGGTGCTAGATCCTTCTCAGATGTGAGATTTGCATTTATTTCTGGGAGTCGGTGTTTTACTTTCTTGGTGTAGTGCACTTGGAAGCACACACATTAGAATATTGGTGCCGTCTCATTTATTTTTGTTGCTTTTGATGTCATATCATAAATTCTTGCCTACTTCAAGGTCATGAAGATTTACACACCTGTATTTCCTTCTAAGAGTTGCATTGTTTTAGCTCTTACCTTTAGGCAGCGATCTGTTTGAGTGATTTTGTGTGTGGTGTGATATAGGAATCCAAATTCATCCCCTTTTTCTTGTGGATACCCAGTAGTCCCAGCGTTCCGTGTTGAAAAGATTATTCATTCCCCATTGACTTAATTCTTGGCACTCTTGTTGAACAATAGTCGTATTTATTTCTGCACTTTAGTTTTATTCCATTGATCAGGTTGTCTGTCCTTGTGTTAGTCCCATGCTGTCTTGATTACTAAAGCTTTGTGGTAAGTTCTGAAATCTTAAAGTGAGTCCTCCTGCTTTGTTTCTTTCTCTAAAGATTGTTTTAGCTATTCTGAGACTCTCCACAATAAAGCAGTTATTGCAGTGGAAAAAAAAAGACTCTTGCATTCATATATAAATTTTAGGATCAGCCTTTCAGCTTCTGCAAAAAAGCTGACTGTAAACTTGATGGGGATTGTGTTGGATTTGTAGATAAATTCATGGAAGAATGCCCTCTTAATAGTAAACCTTCCAAAGTGTTAACATGGGATGTCATTACATTTATTGAGTTTCTGTTAACATTATTTTTGTAGTTTGCAATATATAACTATTACACGTCTATTGTTAAACTTATTCCGAAGTATTTTATTATCAGCAAAAATATTTTCTTAATTTCATTTTAATTATTTATTGCTCATTAATAGAAATGTAATCAATTATCTTGCTAGCAGTTACCTTTGCTAGCTTCATTTATTAGTCAAGTAAGTAGTTGGTGTTTTTCTCTCTCTTTTTTGGTAAATTCCTTAAGATTTTTCACATACATGATAATGCTGTCTCTTAGTAGAGATAGTTTACCTCTTATCTTTTTTTCTTTTTTTTTAACTTGTTTAATTGTCCTGGGCAACCAGTGAGAGAGTAGGTATCCTTGTTTCTGACTCTCTATGGG